GGGGGGGGGGGGGGGGGGGGGGGGGGGGGGGGCATGTAGCTCTTGAATTATGCAAGAGGATCCCATTAGTTATGTATTAAGTGGGGGCTACCTCTATTCTGTCTACAATGATCGAGGCTCAATTAAATACCATTAGGGAGACTTTTAGGGTACATGATACCATAGGGTTCATCGTGCCTCAAACCTGACGAGAGTTGTTTGCCTATGGAGGGTTGCATGGCAGTTAACGAGGCCATCTTTATCGGCGGCATACGACTGCCTCTATACCCTTCATCAAGTACTTTTTGAATATAAGCCCCCGTTTGGCCCCCATTTTCTGAAAATGAAAATGGGTGGAATAGTATTTTGTTAAAAAATGAGAGGTTGAAAAAGAAAGGAAAATTTTCGATTTACGTGTAATATTATTCTATGGAAGATTGTGTGGTTGAAAATAAGAGAGAGAAAAATGAAAAGTAATGTAATTGAATTTAATGGGGCCAAACGGTGGCTAACTTAGCTCGAGCCAATTGGTAGGGGCATTTCTTCTTTGGAAGGAGACCACTCTTGACGAGGATATTTCAATTCATGTCTTTCAAGTCCTTTTTCAACCTTGGGTATCGGATGGATGGATGGATGGATGGATTTCAAAGGTTGGTACTTCATGAACCCCTGGGGTCAACATTCACCTTCCATTTGGGGCACACGAACCTTAATTAAAAGAGTATTAAGTCATCCTAGTTCTTGGCCAGGAACGTAGCGGAGAGTGAAAGGCGATGTGATCCCTAAGATAACCGTACCAACCTAATATCATGAATACAGTCTGAAGTGTCTTTGCAGTTGTAGTTGATCGGCTCCAATTAGAACCATCTAAGTGGGCTAACATCCGAACTTGTTACGAGCTTCCTCTAGAGGCACACTCCTTCAAGAACGTCATCTCAAAGCATTCACTCTTTGTTAAATACAATCTCATGGCCTCGAAAGGTAATTATTTCTCACATAGCTTCGTCCATAAGAACTTTGTATGGAATGTTAAGTACTAACACCTCTTTTTTTTCTAGAGCAACATGCTGAGAAGGACCATTCGAAGCCAAATATGTTCTTTATGAGGAAAGTTGGCAGAGGGATCAGGTCCTCAACACTAATACTCCACATACTGTCATTAGAGAGATGAGCTTGCCCGAATAAAGCCAGGCTACTAAGCCACCAACGCCCACTTCGAAAAAGGGCAAAGAAAAGGTGGAGCCTTAGTCGAAGAAATAAGGAGAGAAAAATGGATATCACCAACTCTTCTGATCCTCTTCCCGCTCTGACTTTTAAAATGACCCTTTTGGAGAAGCCAATTGTACCGAAGCCTTTGACATCCTTTCTTGTTTAAGAACATGCTATGGAGGTCAAGGACTTTCCTAAAAGGTGGAAGGGAAAAAGGGTTGTCCTAGAGAAGCCTTTCTAATGACAAGGTGCAAAACTTCCTAGGGGCCATAAACAAGAATTTGACGCGATTGCCATCAACATGCTTCCGTTAGAGGTTCAGACGGCTGTAAGGGTCTACCACAAATATTGGTTCTAATACTCATTATTCAATTTAATCTAAGAAATCTTGGTTTTCAGGAGTTTTATCCACCCCAAACTCTCTCCACTAAAAGTATGCAAATCAACAAGTAAAATTTCAAGATGCAAGCACCAGAGGAACATCATGACCTAACAAATGACATGATTGCTTACAATTTAAGAGCCTGTTTGATTATCATTAATTGGGAAAAAAAATGAATTCTGAATAGTATTTTTAAAACAATGTGTGATTAAAAAGTAAGGAAATTTTTTTTGCATTATTTGAATATGTGGTTGAAAATAATCTTCTAACAGACTATAAAATAAATTAATGAGTGTCAAACAAACACTAACCGGATCTAGGCTGTATAATTCTGGCTGAGTACCACAACGCGTACAAATAGGTCCACTTCCACAATAAATGTAACAGTAGACCTGCTGTAGGTAATGATTTGATGTACTACCAAAAACAGATTTTATCATTTAAAATGATGCTCAAAACTCAAGTAAAAATCTGCAAGCTTGATGAAACATTGATGATGCATCTGCACATGGTGCAATTGACTTGAAACTCAGCATATGCGTATTCTACAATCCACATGCATCACTACAGCGAGAAGGGCTTACCTTGGTTCGTCTTATATTCAAAATTCAAGATAATTAAATATTTAAGATGATGTCTACGGATTCCAGCATATGTATTCACTGACTCACAGTCACGCCACGTGGAAGGAAACAGGCCATGGGTCCTCACAATTAGGGTGATGCAAATCGACTTTTTGAGACATTTGCCCCCAGTGGGAAACAAATAAAAACATCCTGTTACACATCAAGCTTGCATCCGTAGTAAACTTTTTTCATGGTGATCTAAATATAATAAAATAGCTCGTCGAAATAACAAGTTCATAATTAATGGCACATTTGAAAATATGTCCACTGATGAATTCATTTGGTATTCATACTCCCTTGAGTCTGCGAGGTAATTAACGAAAGGAACTAAACATTGGAACCACTGAGTGCCATAACCTTACACTGTTCATTCATGGCCAAGAGTTGGGCCTCTTTCTTGTCAAGAAGAACACTCAGCCTCACATTCTCTTCCATAAGTTTCTGGACCTCAGATTCCTTTTGCATTTTTTCACTTTCTAGTTGCGATGTCTTGGCAACAAGCCTGGTTCAAATAAGAAAAAACTACCTGAATTAAATTTTGCCAGGAAGCCGACTAACACATACAATTGACAGTAATTTCAGCAAAGAGTAACGATAATATCAACATATATCATAACATGCTAATAACATGCTAATAACTGCAAACACTTGGTGTATTAGAAACGAAGAAAACTGTAATTTCCCATTAAGATACGATTATTTTCAATCTTTCAATCATGGCATATAATAGACAGACATTGACTGTTTAATCATGTCCAAATCTTTTTTATGCAAAATAAAAGTATTACCAAACACTGTAAATTACTTCAGATTTAATAGATTGGCATGTGTTGTGCAGAGCCAGTTATGCTAACTGCCCACTTGAGCACAAATGAAGTATATATGCATTGAATTATACCTTCATTTCTTTATACGTATATGCATCTAATGACACGTCTAATAGTGAAAACAGACCCAGGTTCAATAAGTTCATCAGAGACTAAACGGAAGTTTTCGAAACCATTAGAAATAAAGCATAATTTTCATATATATATATTAAAGAAATGTTCCAGCATCTAGCATTAAAGAGATTTTTCAGGTGTTTATTAATTTGAGTGGATAAAAAAGAAGTTCAGGAATGAGCGAACTTTTTCCAGCTGTTTCTTTCAGGGTGTCTTTCTGTGTGTGTGGGTGTGGGAGGTGGGGTCCAGGTTCTGGGTCTCTTCCAAGCTTTAAGAACTCATTCCTCAACTTCACCACTGGTCATTTGCAGAAATGCACCAGCCCACAACGCACCACTAGACCTGACTAGCAGTACAGGCATTTCTTGTATCTAGGCATTATAAATGCTGATATCAGTTTTGTCGTATAATAGTCACTAACAATAGACACACATTCAAGAGCACCATAGCTGGTAATCCAAGATGCTCTGTAGGTTCAAGAAATGAAGAATAAATGATTGAAACTTTTAAGGACAAAGTCATGACTAGTCCATTGCCTTGGGTTTGGGGATGACAGTTGTGAAAATGCTGGTGGTGCAGGGCTGATGGTGGGGGTGGGGTGTTGGTAAGGAGTAAGGGTGACCTTTATTTTTTCTTTGTTATATTTTACTGAATTTTAGTGTTTCCCATTTGACTCTAAAGAGGTGGACACATGCCTCTGTTGCATAACATTTTAACAAAATTTTGGACAGTTTCTGCACTAGATACTACATGAACAACAAAATTGAAACATTGAGCACCAACTTACTCATTTTTTAAAATTGAGGACCAATTTCAATTTGGACAATACGCTGGATACAAATACTACAATTCTCACTAAATGAAGCATCCTTTGTTTCTTTGTGTTCATCTTTCAACACATTTCTCTACTAAAATAAAAAACTAAAAATAAAACTCATAGATTTTAAAAGAGTCCAAATATAACACCGTTACCAGCAGTTACGATTGAAATTAGGCCTTGCTGCAAAAATTTGAAGAAGGGACCAAAATGAAAATAATGTAGTTTTTGGAGGACTAAACTGTGAAAATCGAAAATTTAGTTATGACCAGGCTGTGAACGGGTTGGCCTGGTAAAGTGAATTCTAGAAGAAGTGAGTTTAAAAAGGTGGTCAAATGCCATTTAGGACCAAAAGGCAAGAAAATTTGGATGATTGAAGATATGTACTGTCAATGATGGAAAATGTATGTAATTTAAAGAAATGTATGATTCTATTCCTTTATAATTTCAAGATTTTTCTATTGGTTCTTATGTTAAACAACTGCAATCAAATTTAAAAAAAAATAAAAATAAAAAATAAAAAAAAAACTCAATCACTTCTGTTATTAAGTAATTTGAAGAAAGAAACCATGGACAAGTAAATATTTTGAGGTAGCACAATCCTATTTCAAATAGGATTAAATTATCTATTTTTCTTCTTCTTATTTAGATTTGGATTTATTTTTTCTTTCTTGATTAGAAAAGGATTTCTTTTCACTTTTAGATTAAGATTCTAGTTTTATTTTGTCTTAGGATTTTAGTTTAGTTTCCTTATATTATTTAAGATTAAGAAGTTATTTTGCCTATATAAATAAAGACTTTGTACTCTTTTTTCAATAATCAGTTCAATACTATAAAATATTATCTAGAATTTTCGAGTTTTTCAACTTTGTTCTTGTTTCAAGAATTTCGGTTCCACTTTAATATGGTGTAGACTTTCGAGTCCTCTCAAGGCCACTGAGGTGAATACCTCACTATAAACTTCAAGGCTCTCTGGGATTAATCGAGGTACTCGTAAGCTGACTCGAACACCCACGATCATAAAAAAAATAATAATAAAAAAAATAAAAAATTAATATGGTGTAGACTAGTAACAGTACGCATCCTCACGACGATGAGTGGAGGATTGCAAAATTGCCAACCTTGGTCCAAACTCTAGAACGAAGGATGGACATATTTGAAGATGCAATCAACAAGAATTTGCAGACTATGACTATGACTATTATGAATGTTGGTTTTTTTCAATAAGCACTAGCATGACAACATATGGCTAAAAAATTTCCTTTAGTCCCAATTAGTTTGAATACTCACAAGATATCAAGAATTTTAAGAAGGTCTACTAGAGATATAAAGGAGCTCAATTTGAAGTACGACAAGATTTTTAAAGCATGATGCACCATCAACAACAATGTAAGCAACACGATAATAGATGGTAGTAGTGAGAACTTGGTATCCAAAGTGGTAAAGTTTTAAATTTGAAAACTAAAAATACTTATCTAACTATCAAGTTTTACAAGTTAATAGGGAATAAAAAATTCAAAATAAGGATCACTCTATTAGAAAGTACAATAAAGATGAGATTGTGTGCAACGTGGTAGAGATGGAAGATTCTTATGTACTTTCTGGACAACCATGGTACCATGATTTTTATGTCATTTACATAGGTCGAGATAATAGATACGTGCTTTGGTTGTACGATAAGAAGATCGTTTTAGTATCATGTGACGAGCAACTTGCGAGTTGCGAATACTTACACAAAGAGCAAAAGATTTATAAAGTAGATGATGATGTTAAAATGAAGTCACTCAAAATGATGAGGTTGTTGCCCACCATGATACTACAAGGGAGATAGAAAAGCATGTGCAAGTTAAAAGCCTGAGACGTATTAATCCCTTATACACAGAATTTTAGTTCATTTCGTGGTTGATAATTGATTAGCCAGTTTAGTTAATAGTTAGCTTGTATTTATAAATTTAGTGCTCGGAGAATTCTTGGTTAATGGCATGTTTTCTAATAGTTGAAGTTCTGTACAGTTTGTAAAGCTTAGTTTTTAACCTATATGTGATCAGCATGTTTATAGGAAATTTATGGGACAAATGACGAGTAAATGGCCTTCTTATTATTTTTATTTTTATTTTAACTGGATTGCATTTTAAAATATTTAATGGGTAATTCCACTAGTTTTCCTGGAGTATAGTTGAAGTATTGGAGGAATAACACTTCATTATAAAGTGCAGATTTATTCAATCTTTTGAAGTTGCACTCCTAAGTTATGGTTTACGAGGAACACGATAGGGGAATCAAATATCTTAATGACTCTTAAACATCCTATTAGTAGTAGTGATAAGGAAGACCTTTATAGACATTTTTTATTATAGCAGTAGATAACAATTTTGCTGTCATTATTAAAGTGATGATTCGTTGTTTGCTTCTTTATTAGTTTTTGTATTTTCTTTTCCAAGTTGTTAATATTACAAGCATATTGTTATCTTTAATATTGTTGAATTATCTTAGAGTTTCTGTTATAGCTTATGCCTAGCTACATAAGTAAAACATCTGCCCGATTGAGCCATTTTAAACATGGAGAAGCAACTTGGCAGTGCCACCTAAAGAAAAATAAGTTACAAACAAAAAATGTATAACTAGAAATGAAACAACGTAGAGAGCTGAAGAGGGACAAAAATAATAATAATAATATTAAAAAAAATAAAAAAATCAAGCAAACTAATTGGTCATCACCACCACTAAAAATAGAGGACATTGATAGTGAAAAATACAATTGGTATTCAATAATCATAAGAAAAGATAAAGTACACTGACCGTTCAAATAGCCTCTCAATAGTCTGAAATTGCTTTTCTGATGAAAGAAGTGTTTCCCTTACACTAATGAGACTACTGACATAGGATTTCAGAGAATCAAAGTCCTGCTTAACACGATAAAGCTCCTGCTCATTTTCAGAAGCTCTTTGCCTTTGTCTAGAAGTTTCTTCAACCAAATCTTCAACCCTCTGCCTCATTTCATTTAAAATACAATTTGTATCCAATGCAAATTGTTCCATCTCCTCTAGTTTTGAAGACATGCTTTCGATTTGGAGGACCTTTCTTTTAATTTCTTCCTGCCCAACAGTTACCTTCTCCTTCTCAATAGCAGTTTCAGATTCTGCAACTATAACCCTCTTGAAAAGGCTTTCCATTATATCTGTAACCATTTGAACATTTTTAAATAATTCAGTGGTATAAACTCCATCTTGTTCATCATAAGAACCATGAAGACTACCAAGTGCAATCCATGTTTCCTTTTCTGGACTGTCAAGGGAAGAAAGATCAACATTTCTTGACAAGCAGGACAATGGTACACCATTTTTATCGACGAGCCCAATGCCATCTAATTGTTTGATACCACATGAAGTATGAGTCAAATGAGGAATAGCCATGACTCTGGCTTTTGATTTCAAGTATGTCAATAAGGATGCAGCAGTTTTAACTCTACGCCAGAGGACTTCTAATTCTTTCTTTGCATCTTCTTCTGACCCTTGTATACATCCCTCTACCTCCGTAAGTTTCTCTTGCAAGGCATCCACTTGGGATTGGCTTCTCTCCATCTCCTGCTTCCAACCAATGTTTGTTTGACTTAAATGAGACTTCAAAGCTGACAAATTAGCATCTTCCTCTGCCGCCATTACCTTCCAAATGATACATAGGAATTTTGGAGTTTCATTCATTAATAAATCAGATACATCTCACATGACTAGGCAACAGCCATGTAAGCATTTAAATCACATATTTCCTTCAAAATCTTCATCTATTACTTCATATTCACAAATTGTGACGAGTTGGTGGGTTCTTAAGTTACAAGTTGAAAACGATTCAAGTTACAATTTATTAACTAATCCCATAAGAATAAAACTTCACAAATAGTTTGATAAAATTACAGCTTGCAAGTTCGTAGCTTAGTAATCTTGCAAGTTTGATAAAAAAGGCTTTTAAAAGAATTTTATTATTCGGAGGGAAAATGCATACAACTGAATTAAGCAGCATCACATTCATGGTTAATATTGAAATGGAGTTACAATCTTTACAGTGAAAGAACAGGAAAAGCTTGTATTTGCTTTAAGGGATGAGATTCCAAAATAATATTTGTCCAAAACAGATGGCAAATATTGTTTAAATTTTATAAGAGCAATTTGAGCACAAAAGAAAAATACGATCCCCAATAAAGATTTTAACATCGCATCAACATTGGCATTTCCTTTGACAGCTAATTACGATATCTTACCTAGGTATTTACCTACCAGAAGGAAAATCAATGCACCAACATATTCAAATTGAAGTTCATCCGCAAAAGTAATATCTTAAATACATTTGACGAGAGTCCGCGATAACACACTATAGAACTACCAAACTGATATGCAAAAGAAAGTAAATTATGATTTTTATACTTGAATCTTAAATATAATTAACATGGAAATGAATCAGAAAGAAAAAATCGATGATCAGTCCCAAAAATACCAGATGAGAAGAAGACACCTTCCGATTTTCTGCAAATTGAGAGCAATTTAGAATGAGGAAAATGATTATGGTGGTACACGCGTTGTCGAAAGACAGGTTTTAATAAATTAAAAGTAAAAGTAAAGAATTGGGGCAAAGAAATAATGCATTTCGTGCAATTATTTGAATCATATTATTAAGTTTAGGCTTGAGCCACATTATTCGAATCAAAATGCATTTATGAATAGTATACTGATAGGAAATGTGTAGTTAAGAAATAAAGAAAAATTTTGAATTTGCGTGTATTATTATTTTATTAAAGAATATGTGGTTGAAATGATGTCAATTCACTCTTAAAAAATATATTTTTTTCTTAAAAAATGTGGCTCAAACAATGCCATATATATCATGAAAATGCTGTTTTTTATTTAACTTGGTGAATTTTTGTTTATTTCAGTGATGGATATATTTCTAATGCAAGTGGAAAAGAAAAATGGGAAAATTCAAAATATGAGAGCTAAGTTGTAACATTTTAATAGTTGATTCGAACCGCAAAATGAAGATTAAAGATGTTTGCGGGTTCAATCGGATGCAATTAGAAGTCGAATGGTTGAATTTGCAAGAGAAATGATCTAAAAGAATCAAAAATTGAATTCGAGGATCAAAACGCAACATTTAGATGTTTTTATAATTGGGCAGTTGCCCAATTATTTAGAGTAGGCGACCGTCCAATATTAAGGAACAATTACCGAAGCGAAAAATTTAGCCTGGGTAACAAAAAAACTCTAATTTCCTTATCCGACTAAAATTCTTATTGAAACAAATCTTGGGAAGTATTTTATAACTCTAGAGCCGTCCCTAAGCATTCATCACGCATTCTAACAGATTTCTAAAGATTTGAAAGAATAAAAGGAGGCAAGGAACCCAAAGATTAATTCGAAGAGCTGAAGATTCAAGTGAAAATTGAAACGGGTGATGTTGTTTCTTCATGTGTTACTTCTTCCCATCATGTCTAGCTAGATTCATTTGTGATAGGAGAATGATGAACCTTGTGATATGATGTTTTAATCTTTAGTTTTATACTTTTGACATTAAAATACGTTTTTGAGTATCGAATGGTTTACATGAATTCATTTTCTTCATGATTATTGTGCACAGTAATTATAAGATCGTGGTGGCTTATTTTATGCATTCGAAAGAAGAAAAATATGCTCGATATGGTATAAATATCATAGGATCTGATATGGGATAGAAATATACCGCTATATTCTAAATAAATCTTCAAGTATTCATAAAAATTTATGCATTCTTGTATATTCATATCCGTCATAGAGATATAGTCGGGTCATATATAAGAATAGGTTTAACTTTACTCAAGAGAGAGACTGTTAAATATAATAAGAACATTGTTTCTTTAATATTCAAGGGTGTTGTCAATTTGTAAAACTATGGTTAAAACAGATTATTGCATGGGGATTCTTGATCCTAGTACGCTCGTCATCTATTAGAACTTATCAAACTCCATTTAGCGTAATTTTGCATTTAACTTCCTTAATTCATTCACTATTGCATACATAAATCATTTTAGTTATAATTTTGCTACAAACAACTACTCTCACCATTCGTGTTTCGATTAAGGTCAAGGTAATGAAAATCGAACTTAAGTCAATCCTTATGGGACAATACTTGGACTTACAATCAACTTTATTACTTGTTAACGAACAATACACTTGTGATGATCTTAATTCAAAAGATATTTTCGTGAACAAGTTTTTGTCGATGTTGTCCGGGATTGAGTTTTAGTTTGATTTTATTTTCTTTGACACTAATTTGAACTTTTTATTTTTATTCTATTTTTCATTTTATTGATTTTATTTTATTTTTCTTATTTTTAGTTATCTGAGTGCTACTCTTGATCTTCTCTCACGTCTTGCAAACGAAGATCACTTGTCGGTGAATTAATTCCAACTGATCCAGAAATCGAACGCACCTTTCATCGTAGGCAAAGAGAAGGCAGAGTAGCACAAGAAAAAATTAAAAAAGACAAAAAATAGCAATTGTAAATGGCTAACGAGCAAAATAATCCGATAGTTTTAGCTAACGAAAAGGAAGTTGTAGGCGAGGGAAATATGCTTGTTGGGGATCTCATTACCCTACAATCATTCAGATCAATCCAGTATTGTCTACCCACTGTTTGGGCAGCCTAATTTTCAGTTGAAGACCAACGTTATACATCTATTTAAGAATGGACATCAGTTTTATAGCAGAACCGAAGAAAATCTGCATACACACGTCTCTAGATTCTTAAAGATGTGTCAACAATTTGAATATCAGGGTATTTCGGATGATGCAATCAGACTGAGGTTTTTTCCACACACTATGAGCAATAAAGCACTTGAGTAGCTGGATTCACAACGAATTTTCAGTATAAGCAGGTGGAATGATATGGCTCAAAAGTTTTACACGAAGTTCTTCTTACCAGCCAAGGTAGCGAGACTGAGGCATGACATATCGATATCTAGTCAAGGTGAATCTGAACAATTTGATGAGGCTTGGAATAGGTTCAAGAATATGCTATGGAAGTGTTCTCAACATGGTTTCGACAAGAAAACCCAAATCCTATTTTTCTATACAAGATTACTTCCATATTTCTAAAGCATGGTGGATTTATCATCCAATGACTCCATATCCACGAGAACAGTTGATGGAGAATTGGAATTGTTCAAGAGAATGGCTACTACTTCAGTTATATGGTTTTCTAAGCAGGTGGTTCAAAAGAAAGTGCCAGGTGTATACGAAGTGGATGTTCATTCAGCCTTATCTAGGTCAACTAATGCAGCACGAATCAAGAAGCTAAGCTGTGAGGAGTGTGGAGCAGATCGTAATATATCGGATTGCCCAATTTTAGTGTAATGAATGAAACAAGTTGATTTTGCACAATGAGGATAATGTCAACAAGGTTAGAGGAACCACTCGAACTTCTCTTAGGGTAATCAAAATTAGAATAGGCCACGGAGTCAGTTCCAGCAGCATGAGAAGAACTCTCAGTTAGAAGAGATGTTTGGCAAATTTAAGGAAAAGATGGAGCAATACATAGAGTCGAACAATCAATTCATGAGAAGAATCAAGACAAACCTTCAAAATCAAAGTGGCCATAAGTGTTTTAGAGAATGAGAAAATTGAGGATCCATCAGTGAAAGCAATAATACAACAAGGAGTGAAGTACGGTTGCTTGAGATTACCGTCAAAAAACCATCTACAATTACGAACAAAGTGCATACAACAGATAAGAAGCAAGTAGATAAGTCTCAACAATCAATCGAGAAAATTTGAAAGAGAATACAGACAATCTACAAGCTAAGGCAGCTGATCTTGTCGAAGAATATGTAGCTCCCATTCCTTTCCCACAAAGGTTGAAAAACACAAGTTAGACAAACAGTTTGAAGAGTTTTTGGATGTGCTAAAGAAACTCCACATCAATATCACATTCACAGACCCGATGAGGCAAATCTCAAGCTATGCAAAATTTTTAAAGGACATGGTATCAAAGAAGAGAAAACTTCTAAAATTTAAAACTGTGGCACTGACAGAGGATAGCAGTGCAAAATCATAAAAGAAACTGCCACCCAAACTTAAGGATCTAGAGAGTTTCACTTTACCTATTTCAATTGGAGAAGCTGGTTTTTTTAGTGCTTTATGTGATATAAGCACAAGTATTAACTTAATGTCTTTATCTGTATACACGAAATTGGGCTTAGGGAAAGCAAAAGAAACAACAATGTTATTAAAATTAGTTGATAGAAGCATCAAACATCCAAGAGGCAAAGTTGAGGATATACTCATCAAAGCTAGCAAATTGATATTTTTGGCAAACTTCATTGTTCTAGATATAGAAGAAGACATGGATATTTCAATAATCTTAGGGCGACCATTCTTAGCAATAGGTTGAACATTGATTGATATCGAGAAATGTGAGCTAATCTTGAGAGTGGATGAGGAACAAGAAGTTTTTAAATTACATAATATATTCAAAGAACCATTAGACCTCAACGAGTGTAAGTATATTGATAAATATGAACTATCCATTCAACAAAACTGTCAGAAGAGAAAACCAAAATTTGGATGGATTATTGGTGAGATAAGAACTGAGAATTCATAGTTTGGAGAGCTAAAAGAGGATGCAAGGCTGGAAATTGCAAGGAATGTAAGGGCGAAACATTTCATTTTAAACCACCTTAAGAACATCACCCAAAAAGTCGAGCTCTAGACTATAAATCGAGCATTTAATAGAAGGCAACCCATTTTTCTATACATTTTCACTATTTTAATTAACTATTGCATTATACGTAGTTTTAGGAATTGCATTAATTTAGGAACTCATACATTTAAATGGTTTGTTTTGAACACATTTTAAGTAGTGCTTTAAGACTTGCATCAGTAACTTAGGCATATTTACTTATTGAGTTCATTTTGTTGAGATAGTGAGGCTCATCTTTAACATCCTAGCATTTTATTGACCTTGCATTGAGGTGATATACATTCTTAAGGTTGTACCTAAATTTCATTCTCCAAACTATTTTGAAAGACTATCCTTTCCTAGCTATAGGATTTTTGCAGAGATAACACTCTGTTAGATAGTCTTTTTAATAGTTAGAAGATTATAATTTTTTTTTTTTTAGTGAATTCATTACAAATATTTAGATCTTATATGCTATCACTAATATTTATTTTATATTCTTGGAACAGTAAATTAAAGCCTAGCAACAAGAAAAAGTGGCAGTTGAGATGACATCTACCAGCCGAACTAACTTGGTCCTTCTATCTATCTGCATCTACCTTGACGAGTTTCTAATCTTTACTCCTTTGCTTTGATTATTTTTTGTTCTTACATTAGAGACAATGTAATATTTTATTAGGGGTAGGGTAAATTCTATGATACTTATGCTCATTATACTTAATCTTTAAACTGCTAATCGGATCCGTATAACTATTTAAAAAAATGAAACGTCTAGTTTAGCGTTGAATGACTTAGTTCCTTTGATGATATTATTTTGAATTAAGTCTATCTTTAGCTAGATTACCGGATAACACCATAACATGTGTGTTTATTTGAGTACTTATCCATGTTAGATTGAATTATTTAAGCACATAGCCGTATCGATTTATCACTTACTTTGGGGCATGATTTGATTATGTGGATTTAACTGTTGATGTTGTTGATAGATACTTGAGTGAATTCCTACATCCCTAGTGTAGAAACCAAACTGCTAAAAAAATAGTTTGGAGTTGGGAATATTAGTGTTTGTTTTCATAAAAATTTGATGGTTTGCAGTTCTCGGATCTCATTGTTGGTTGAAAAAGTTGAGTTAAGGAGTCCAGAATGGGCACTAACCATTGTTAAAATAAAATTTATGCCCATACATCTTTTACTTCTTTTCGTAGCCTTTTATGACTTGAGTGATTAAAAGTCTGCAAAGGTATCTAAAAAGCTCATCCCCTATAGTCCTCTGACTTAGGAGATATCGGCCTAAAGGTCGTTATACGGGTCATTCAAAAAGCTTAATATAGAGAAGTATTGCACATAAGTTGTTAAAAAATGAAAATTAGATTATGATATCAAAAGCAATAGTGATACAACATCTAACTCTCTTCGTAGCCTTTATGAGTCGAGTGATTAAGCCTGGAAGAGTATCTAAAAATATGGTGCACTATAATCATCTAACTTGAGAGTCATCAGCTTAAAGCTCATTATAGGGTTATTTAGAGAGCTTAATGGAGAGTAGTATTGCACAAAAGATGTCAAAAAAAAAGGAAATTTGGATTATCAAAAGTGAGATATACTCGATAAAGATTTTGAGATCTGAACTCCAGAGATTGGCGGTGTAACTTGGAAAAAAAACTTACCATCTCATTTCTAGATTTACAAGTATCTAATTCTGATCACTTTGTGTGGAAAAATGCAGTATAATAATTTGAGAAACTCCCATGTGCTAGAAATACCCCAGGATTGAAGAGAAAATCATAAAGAGTGATTTTGCACGAAAGGTATAAGAAAAAACTAACCACAAGAGGATTGGGATTGCGAATAAATCAAAAACACTTGATTAGTTTTTGATGTTGTTTGGATCTTTCTAGAATGTTACTTAAATTCGAACCTAAGACATATTGTAAGTTCTTCAACGTTGGGTCTCGTATTTGTAATTAATTTTTAGCTAGTAATGTGATTTGCAGCGGAGTTTTTTTTTTTAATGTTTAGGGATGAACAAAGATTTTAGTTTGGGAGTGTTTGATAAGTGTATTTTGTGCACTTATTTTGATCATATTACTAAACCCCCGTTTGGCTGCCATTAATTTTCATTATATTACATTTCATTTTTCTTTCTCCTATTTTCATCCATACAATCTTCCATAAAATAATATTAAACGTAAATCGAAATTTTTTTCTTTTTTTTTCAACCACTCATTTAAAAAAAAAACACTATTCAACCTATTTTCATGTCCACAAAATGGGGGCCTTATGGGGGCTAAGTTTTTATATCATGAAAATGTTGATTTTTACTTAACTTATGTTAATTTTCGTTTATTTCATGATGGACCCGTTTCTAATGCAAGTGGAAAAATGGGAAATCCATAGTATGAGGGCTAAATTACAACATTTAAATAGTTGATTCGGACCATAAAATGAAGATTAAAGATGTTGCGAGTTCAATAGGATATAATTAGAAATCAAAGGGTTGAATTTGCAAGAGAAATGATCTAAAAGAATTAAGAATTGAATTCAGGGACTAAAATGCAACATTCGAAAGTTCTATAACTAGGCTATTGCACAGTTATTTAGAGTGGACAACAGGCCAATATCGAGGAACAATTACCGAGGCAAAAAATTAGTCGCCCAGGCCAATCACAGCGAAAAAAATTTGGTTTCCATATCTGATTGAAATTTTTATGGAAACAAATCTTGGAAAGTATTTTAAAATCCTTAGGTGTCCCTAAGCATTCACCACGCATTCTAACAGATTTCTAAAGATTTTGAGAGCATAAAAGTAGGCAAGGAACACAAAGATTAATTCGAAGAACCGAAGATTCAAGTGAAAATTTGAAATTGGTGATGTCGTTTCTTCAATATTAATTGTGTTTTCTTCTTTCCATCATGTCTAACTAGATCCATTTGTGCTAGGAGAGCGATGAACTTTGTGATATGATGTTTTAATCATTAGTTTTATACTTTTGACATTAAAACACGTTTTTGAGTATTGAATAGTTTATACGAATTCCTTTTCTCCATGATTATTATGCACGGTAATTATGCAAACGTGGTGGCTTATTTTATGCATTTGAAAGAAGGAAAATAGACTCGATATGATATAAATCATCATAGAATCTGATAGGGGATAAAAATATATCGTTATACTCTATGTGAATCTTTAAGTGATTATAAAAATTTATGCATTCTTATAAGTTCGCATTCGTCGTGGAGATATAGTCGGGTTATATATGAGAATTAAACAACTTTACTTGAGAGAGACTGATAAATATAATAGGAACATTGATTTTTTCAATATTCTAGCGTGTTGTCAATTTGTAAAACTAGAGTTAAAACAGATTATTGCATGGGGATTCGCTATCCTGATATGCTCGTCATTCATTAGAACTTATCAAATTCCATTTGGCATAATTTTGCATTTTATTTAGTTAATTTATTCACTATTACATATTTAAATCATTTTAGTTCTGATTTTGGTACGAACAACCATTCTCACAATTCGTGTTTCGGTTAAGGTCAAGGTAATAAAAATCTAACTAAGCCAATCCTTGTGGGGCGATACTTGAACTCACAAGTTAAAATCTACTTTATTACTTGTTAACAAACTGTACACTTACGGTGATTTTAATTTGAAAGATATTTTCATGAACAAAAGGCAAGCGAGAATGTCGATTTTCTTCTTTCTTGTTTTGCTTTGCCCTTCTCCAAACTAATTGTTCCAATGGTCACTAAACTTAGTTCCATGTATTTTATTAGTCATTGAAATTTAAAATATCAAGTTTTGGTCACTGAACTTAAGAGCATGTTTGGTACCGATTATGAAAATTAATTTTTTTCCCGTTATAAAAAAAGTGGATCTTACCTGTTAGTGAAGCAGTAAAAAATGACGGCTAATTATGTTAAGTAACGATCGAAAAATTGATTTTTTGACTTGAAAATGCAGAACCAAACAGGGGCTAAGTTCATATCTTCGATTGCTCATTAAAATACAATGTTTTAAAAGACGTAATGCATGACGATGCGTTGATGCCAAGCTAAGGACAATGCGAGATTAGGCGAGGCAAATGCGTAAAAAATAGTTTTTTTATTTTAATATTATTTTAAATTTTTAATCAATAAAAAAATTATTTAATAATTATAAATTATTTAATAATTATAAGTTTTAACTTAAAAAAATAAAAAATAAAAACCTAATAATGAGCGCATTGGCACCTTAGCCTCACCTCGCGCCAATGCGAACACTGCTAAAATTAAAAATGACAAGTTTTGACTACTGAATTTTGGAAAATATTATACGTTACTCACTAGTATAAATTTTGAATTTTGGAAAATGTCGAGTTTAGAGTGAATAATGTATAATATTTTTCAAAATTCAGCGGTCAAAATTCAACATTTTAAACTTTAATAAGCAATCAAAGATATGTACTTAAATTCAATAACCAAAACTCGATATTTTAAACTTCAGTAACTAATAAAAAACATGGACCTAAGTTTAGTGACATTGGAACAATTAACTCTCCATTCCTACTAAGTTTAGTGACATTGGAACAATTAACTCCCCTTTCCTACTAGCTAATAAAACAAAAAGGAAAATTACAACCAAGGTACCAGACCTTTTATTTAGTGGTAAACTAACTTAGACCTTTCATTTGTGCCATCGAGTACCACATCTTTAAAAAAAGGTCCAATCCAAAATGACGGTTTTTGCATGTTTGACCACCAAAACCGTTAGTTGACCAAAGAAATAAAAAATTTAATAATTTTTCCTAATAAGTTAAGGGGAATCTGGGCATTTCATATTTTCCCTTTAAAATAAAAAAACATCAGCTACCTCTTCATTTCATCATACATTATCAAACCTGCAAAACACACGAAGAAGAAGATGAAATGTACAAAGAAGAAGATGTTCATCTATCAAATATTGTAGTCCATATTCGAGGCTCTCTTCCCCAACCTGTCTATGGTAAGTGTGCTCCATTTTTCCCATTTACAATATGAAATAGTGTGATTCTAAGTTGTACGTATCGATTGTCTTCATGTAGTGGGAAATGTAAAAATGATGAATGATTTGATAATTAGGAACTGAATATACTATGTAATATTTTGTTTTGTACATGTGCATTGCTCGAACTAAAAAATCTTAGAGCTTAAATTTTTTTTTTTTTTAATTCAATGAAAAAATCAAAGTATTTCATCATACGCCTTCATCATGGTGGAACTTTATTTGGAAAGATGAGAAATTTTGTGTACGGACATGGGAAACTAAGTTACCTAGACTATGTCGATCTTGATTTTTTCAATAGATTTCTTCTGAACAATGTCATGAAGATGTTGAGATATTCTGATAAAATTAGATATCTGTAAAAGATAGAGAAGAAGAGATTGAGTGAATCATCATTCTGGTTGGTTAAAGATTCATATATCATTAATGTTGTTGCATTTTTCTTCACAAGTGTACGATATTGTAACAAGTAATATTGTGGACCTTTGAGTCAGAATTATCATTATCACGAGTACTATACTTCAATGCTTAATTTACTATTTCCAATTCCTATTTGACGAAAATAAACAAGAATTGTGATTATTTTGATTATTTTTCTAACTACTTCCAACTAATTGAAAATAGTAATATGCACACAAAAGTCGATCGAAAATTCAAATATGAATTGATATTAAGGCATAACTTCTCTAAATCAGAAAACTCGAATGTCTTAGAGACTTGCAAGTGCAGACTTTCCTCTTGATGCTTTATTCCAGGCTCGATCTTTCCTTCAACGCCTACACTACACGATAGCTGAGACTGTCCTAATGTGTCATTCATTAAAATAGGTTGGAGATGCTGACTTTTCTGCTTTTGCTGGAGTTGATGTTGACCAAGTTTCTGCTGCTAAAAATGGTGAGATGGTTGTTGATATTCTTGTTGAGGAGATTGTACAAGATTTTCTCTAGATGAATGCTGCAATTGGAAGTTCATCTTGTCAGATTTATCAAATGATTGCGCCTTCATACTTGCGTGTAGAGTAGATTGCATATTCGAACGATTTATCATCAAATGAGAGTTTGTTTTGGGGATGGACTGCAAGGATACAGCAGTTGAGCTCTGACTGTTCATCAATGACCCAACAGAGGTTACTGGAGAATGTATATTACCAGACCCTGAAGCCTCAACTTTTCCAATTCCATATCTATCACCTATAAAGTGGGTTATTTGAAGTAAGAACACAAGTAGGAGGAAATAGAGATATCACATTCTTCATATTTCCCAAAACACGACATATCTCAACTGTTTGGAATAAATTTGGAGAGAGTCGGATATAGTAAGAGAGGAGGGAGATGAAAGTATAAGTACCCTGCATTGCTGACTGTTGATGTTGATCGAAATGTTGTTGCAATGGTTTGGGGGAGTTGCCATATAATGTTCCTGTTAAATATCCCTCAGAAGCAACTGGACCCTTCATCAGAGACATATTGTTTCCCATCATCCCCAGCCCCGCATCTAAGGGCCCATTTGATGGAACATACGACTTTTGCTGCAATGTAGACCTAAGTTCACCCATGTGGCCGCCAATATTATGCAGAATACGACTATTTTGACCAACTCGCTGCTTTTGCAACATCGGCTGTGATACATCAGTAGATTCAAAAGCTGGAAATGCAAACATGTTATTAGAGGACTCCATTTTTATCAGAGACTGATTATTAGCATTAGTATTTATATCATTGTTATCTGAACTAGAAAATCCAGGAGTGGGAATCATTTGGCTTGTTATTCTCGGAACACTCATAGATGTCGCTGTGTTATTGCCAACAGAGTTAACTGTACCCCCCAATGATGATGGTTGATATCCATTAGCTAAAGCACCTGCAGAGAAATATTTAGTGAGAGAGAAGTGAAAAAGGTAAGTATATAGCTTTAGTCATTACCATAGATCAAGAGACTTGTAAGTACCACTAGAAGAACTAAAAGAACCACCGGCCTTACTCCCAACAGATCCATTTCCAGCCAGCAACAAGTTTCCAGAATTGATGGTGGAATATGCAATTGTTTTAGAGCTACTGTTACCAACAATAGAGTTATCCACAGACGACATTCTCATCAGGCTTGAATTACCGGTTTGGGGTAATCCAGGAGTTGGAATCATTGTACCCATGGAAGGCGATGTATTAACTTGTGAAAATTGCTGGTTGTGATTAGTCTTTGATAGTCTAATAACAAATTGCAAACGACTTTCCAAGGTTGCAAGGTTTAGATACTCCTCCTGATAAAGCAAGAAAAGTAGGGAGATAAGATATGAACACAAGTACATGGTAGCCAATCAATAACTTCACTATAAGAAGTTCCTTAATATGCTTTTCTAAGAACAACAATAGAAGTTCCTTGTCAGATTTTACCAGAAAGAATATAGCTCATGTAGAAATTTACGCAGTGTCTATTTTCTACGAGGTATTACCCATCTTTTTACCTTGGGATCATGTTCATCAAACTTTACGCAACATGATAGTAAGAAAATTGTATGAAGAAACAAAACAAAACTACAGAAACCTTGGATGTAGCGATCCTGAATATACCCTCTTCTAAGCGCCTTGCTAGGTCCCAAATATTTTTACCAGGTAACTCATGAGATTGCTGCCTCCGCTGCATGAGAAATTCAATTCTGGAGAGTAGGAAATTCAGAATTTTCATCAGTACATATTATATCTGATCCCAATCAAAAGCACTAACATGTATATGTAGTGGTACCAAAAACAATTTTGTACAATTAAAACAAAACTACAAATGGAATTAGAAGAACATGGACTCAACAAAAATGTTCATCAAGACCAGTATAGAAGAGGAAGAATGTGATACATACATGTCATAATATGGTTTTATACAACACAATATAAAAATGAAGTCGACCGACTTTCCCCATGACAGTTTACAAGCCATTGTACAAAAAGTAAAGGTAAACATGTCAAAACTACCAATGTACCGTGATAAAGGTGATTGACCACACTTACAGCTAGGTAAAGAAGCGAATTTTGTTTTACCATAAACCGGTGATTTTCTTGAGAAAAGAAGATATCTTAACTAACGATAAATTTTCCAATCACTGAGAAGCTATTCAGGAATTCAGTCCCGCTGCAACCTGATGTTACAAGTTAGACATCACCTACTTATTTAAAAAACATTGGTTTAGAAAGTTTCCTTATTGTTTCATTCTCTTAGAGCTTGTTTAGGGGAGATTTTTTTGAAAATCATTTTTCCCCAAAATCATTTTCAACCACACATTTATGGAACCCATAAGTTTTTCCTACTTTTTAGCCACATATTCTCAAAAAATAATTGTTCAGTTGGAAAAATCTCTCCCAGACAAGATCTTAATCTGAATCGTGAAGGAATTGAATATTATCTGTAAAAGAGAATTATTAAAAGGAGTACAAATATGTAACTAAATAATCAAGCCAATAAATTATAGTGAATCTATGTTTAGTTAGTGTATGGAACAAATCCAAACCAATAGACTTCAATCAGGCCCAAAACTACAAAGCATGTAGTAATATTTAACGGTCTCATTAACCACCACTATCGTCCAATCCACCAAAATAAATTAATCAGTAGGAACAACAGCAAAAAGAACATCTCTGATTGACATAGATAAGAAAGAGTATTACATCTTTTCAGTCATAAACCTCCGTGCTTCTATATATTCAGGGTCCATGTTCTGCACACGACGATGCATACTAGGATTTTGCATCTGACTAGGCAGAGCAATATTTTGCTGTGGTATCCCAGTCAATAAAGTACCGGCTTGGTTAAGTGCCTGTTCTGAGATATGGTCTGAAGGGTGTGCTTGCAAATTCATCTTCACCTTGTAACTTAATAAATAAATAATAAGAATAATCAGAGTTTCAGCATCTAGAGAACAAAATTATAGTAAAGTACTCAGAATGAGGCATCATGATCAGTCATGTCCCATCATAACAACACCCACATTATCTAAACTAGCCAGAACACCTGCACTGAAATTAAAAAAGTGAATAAGAAAACGAAAGATCAGTTTAACATATACAATGTGAAAATATCGCAAAGTTAATGTGTGCATGAGTCATGAGCCAACAGACAAACATTCAGGAAAGATATGTCTCTAAAAAAAATTAAATGAATAGCAGATGATAATGACGTCCCTGCAGCGGCCGGCTGGTGACTTATTCGGGGGTAATGCTTGGTGGGAAGAAAGGATGAGAAGGATGGGCAGAAAGGACAGCCGGTTGCACCAGCATTTTACAGCATGTTCTGTGGAGAAGGTAAACAGATGAGGAGGAGGTTGCAGTTCGGGTTTTCAATAAAAAGATTATGTTTTCTTTTCTGGTCAAAGGAAGAAGTATTTCGAATAAACAATGTTATTTTCACAAGGGTTATCTTCGGAAATTAGGGTGAAAGAACTAATGGGGAAGTGAACACTTTTATGGTACAACCCAAAACGGGAGATGCCCAATCATTATGAAACGGAGAGACTAATACCTATTACCTGATTATTTTGTGAATTTAGTACACTTAAACAAAGTTAACGAAAAAACCATAAAATAATCATGATCAATGGTGATCTTTTTCCCTAGTAATGTCCAACAAATCAGGAGCATAAATAAGATTAAAACTTGTGCGCATAATATCAAGGGGCAGAAAATGTTCTAAGTGATCAGCCTCAAGGTTCCTATTTACTAAATGTCGTTTGATTTATTCAATAAATACACTGCATTTACTTGTTTACTTAAGGAATTTATTCGCAGAAAGAGCAAGATAATATATTTTTTTACTTAGCTGGTCAGGTCCGAATCCGCTTCTTAGCAAACCAAGCAGCATTTAATGAATAACAAAAACAGACAAATTCAAAAAGAATGGCAAAATCATCCACAAATCCAAATTTTCCTCCTACTCACATTTCAGCTTTAACTAAACAAGAAACTTAAATTCTAGGACTATCCCTTTCTGGGATCTTCATGATCACAAGCATAAATCCACATACAGGCTCCAATTTCACGTTCAAACAAAATTATAAAAGTAATAAACTATATCAGGATTTCATCGAGACAAACTTTGAGATGGGAATCATCCGAATTTGAACATGATAGGGTTTCATCAATTTGGGGAAACCCAATTCAGGGCTTAATTCGATCCATCTTAATCTATATTTTCAATTGAATCAGAATCCGATAACACTAAATAGTAAATTTAGCAAAATTAAACTAAAAATATACTAACTAACCGATAATTAAAACAATTGATGGCACTGAAAGGGCAATGAATAGGAATTAAACAAATTCGCCAACATACCCGAGCAGTGAGCTAATTCCAGCATTCGAGCTCCATCATCATCATGAAATGGGTTTTGTCGGAGAAAGATTATTTGCAGAATTTTGGGCGTGATTTATTTTATAAATAATGAGTTTTTTGTTAATCTTTTGGCGCAGAGATAATGTATCTATTGAATATGATTCCTATCAAGTTGATCCCTCTGAAGGATAGTTTCTTTCATTTTGGTCCTCGTGGGATAAGTAATTTCTCTGTTTTCTCCTCCAAAATATTTGTGAATTATGGAATTTACAACTTTGTGCTCTGAAATTCTCAAACCTAATTTTCACTTGGTTAATTTTTGCATTTATGAGTTTGAGTTGGGTTAAAAGAATTGAAACTCTCTATGATTGCTCATTCAAATAAGAATAGTGGAATAAATTTCAATCAGAATCAATAAATTGGCCATGTCTCTCTCCTTCATTCCACTCATCCAACCCTTTTCGTGATCTAATACATTGGCGGCTCTCTTGGTAGACCATCGTTCAAAATTGGTATAGGTTTGTCACGACACCAGTAGTAGCACAAAAATCCAAACTAGAAAGTGATTGAATTCCGTTTTGAGCTAAATATGAGCAAAATGATATTGGCACGTTCAAGTTTATGTGAGTACTTGAGGCTTATTAGTGGTTTATTTTTTAAAGGACTTTATATTGACCTAAGCACTCTTTAATTGATATTTTCCTAGATTAAGCATTTTAGTTTCTTTTAATGATCTGATACAAATCTATATTCTATTTCGGTATGTGTTGGAAGAAATACGCTTCTGATTAGCTAGTCGGTAAGGCAATAGTTTACCAAGATTAGAATTTGCTAAAAACACGGTTAATGATCAATATTTATCAACCAAAATCAATACTCGCAGTTACTGTATTTGACTTCTAATCCTCGGCATAATAATAATAATTTAAACTCTCATAAATTTTTCAATTTTTTTAACGACAAATGTAGTAATATATGTTAATATTGTGCGAATATACTACAATATTATTAAGTGATGAATTGTGTACAAGTGCTCATTATTCTTGTATTTCGAAGGAGAATATTAGAATTACTCTGTTTTTGCCTCCATAATATTTTGAAAGAGGGAATTCATGACATATATTCTTTCAAAACCTACAAAATGTTGGGAAAAATAAGTGATTTATGTGTAAATTATCAATTAGAATAACAATTTTAAACTAACATAAACATAAGAAGAAGGATAGAAAGGAAGCCTTAGGGAATCATGTCAAGGATGTTACATTAATTTCGTGTGGCCTCCCCTTTCATGTGAATACTTTCAATACTACACGATTTCAAGATAAATCCTTTTAGCTCACATCCGATTCTCTATCTATGGACACAACCATAGGAAGACAAAGAACGATCCTATATAGAGTTGTCAAAACTTTAGATATGCCTATGTTAGCTCCCATTTTATTCAAAAATTCATTTTTAAAACTCATTTTTAATTACAAATCCTCTCAAAAAAATAACTTTACACGTAAATCGAAAATTTTTACTTATTTTTCAATCAAACATTCTCCAAAAAAATCACTATATTTACTACAACAATTTCATTTGAGAAAGCTATAATGAATTAAGCCTTGAATTATGCCACTTTAGCCAAACTTCATGTAACGTCCCAAATCTTAGTCTTCAAAAATTTTAGTTAAATTTTTCTTTCTTTATTATTATTATTTTATTATTTTTATTTATTTATTTATTATTATTATTATTATTATTATTATTATTATTATTTTACTTCATAGATTACCCTTATGTTCTATATTCCAACAACTAACAAAAATAAATTATTTAAGCTAGTCAGCTTTGATTTGTTGAATAAATGAAGCTAAAACGAATGGTGAAAATTGAGGTTAGCTTAAGTTAATGGAGCTCAACCCTCCAATGCATCGCCCAACGATCAACCTTAGTTAGATCATTTCTCGAGTTCAAAATGCTTTGAAAATTTTGCAATATTCCTGAAAATCAATCAAGTACAACATAGTAAAATTTTAAAAAATAAATAAAATAGCATCATTAAGACACTCAATTGGACACTCAAACACATCCCTAAAGCTGTTCCAAAATACACTGGATCCAACACATGAAAAATGGGGCATAACTTATTCTATCCACCTTCAAAAGACTTGATTCCAAAGCCAACGAATAGAGGACTCATAGGGCTTTCAAAATCCACTGGTCTCATTCAAAAATATGAAACATTTGATTCGGAGTGATAGCTTAATTATCGAACAAAAACTGAACTTTATATTTTACGTTTTTAGATTTCCAAATCCACACAAGTAATCATATTTTTACGTTAAAACTTGTGCGAACATGTCGTACTAACATTATTTAATTAACATTAGTTCATAGAATTATATAAAAATCTATTTTCATATCCAAATAAAAATACAAGTTCAAACACAAAATAATCTTTTAAATCCATTATCTTAGTTTTGACATTAAAACATATGAAAATAAATTATTCACATGTGAACATTGGTTTAGATTTGATTTTTCTCCTCTTAACTTCTCCATAATCCATGCAATCTCAATCCATCCACGATTCATTCTCAATCTGAAAATTTTATTAAAGTAGGAGTGAGCGTAAGGCCCATAACATTTTCATAGGTATATTTCTCTTTGAATAAATATTCATATTCACGTATAAAAACATAAAAACTTCATATCATGGACATTTTCATGTAGTTGGATTACATGTGATATCCTTAATTCTGAAGAAACTTTTGCGGTCGTGGAAATCGGTTATTGACATAAAACTTTAACCTTTATGGTTCATAGCTTACAATTACATTTATACACATAAAATATACATAAACATTCATAGAGAAAAAAATTAACTTGCACTACACCTTGATTCTTGATATGAAATTAGAAATTCTTTGCCTTGAATTATCAAATTTATAGTAATACTTCTGTATATAATCTAAAATAACACAAATTTGAGAGGAAGAAAAGTGAAAGCCAAATTTGAGGAGAGGTGAGGTAAAAGATGACTTTCCTCTTCTTGTAACCTTCATTTTTAGTGAAAAAACGAAATGGAGGAATTGTGTAATAATATACCTTGTTAAATTGAGTCTTTAAGTGGGAACTTAAAAGAGTTTTATGCTCAAAAGTAATTCTTGCTTTTTCATTTTTTTTTAATTTTATAAAACACATCTACATGGTGAAAATTTGAGAAAAATGAGTTGTTCATGTGACTTGTGACATATTTACATGAATGTCTATTAACAAGAAACTCATTCCCTCCAATTAATTTACATAATTGTATCTTAATGTGAAAGATGAGTTTTTAACTCCAAAAACATTTTTAGAAAAATATTTTATGAAAACATCCACATAGGGATAGTGGTTCATGTTGATCTCGCAAATTGGACCCTCCACGTGACCAACCGATAGCTACTCCACGTATTCCTCCATGTGCACAATCAACGTACGGTCAGATGCATACGGTCGGGACCAGCGGGGGTGGTGGCGACTGCATACACTCCGACGGTCAAATTAGCCCCAGGTGATCGGAACAGTACCAAGGTTGTGCAAAAGGGTGGGGAAGAGAATATATATTTACTTGTTATGGAGAGCTAAGTTGTAAGAGTTTCATCTCTTTTTTTGCCTCTTGCCAAACATTGGGTATTTATAGGTCAGGAGAACCGTTGGATATGGGACACGTGTATGCATCGATGGTGTGAGGAGTTTGCTCATAGGAGTCAATCAACCGCGTCTATAGAGTGGGCGGGTAACTACTTCTCCCGAGTTGAGTTGACATAAAGTTGATACGTCACATCAACTAGGCTCATGGAGACGTCAAATCAATTAAACCTTGGGGATAGAAAGGATCTTGACAAAGATCTCTTTCTGAAATTGGCACCGGATCCTTTGACAAAGAACCTCGGAATGTACTGTGCCTCGGCTTTAGGGGTGAGGACACTTCGATTAGTTCAGTAGATTGCCAGTGCCTCGCAGTGTGTCAGCAGATCGACAACATTGGTTGTGTTGTCACTTCAGAACCACTTCGGATGGGCGTTGAACACCTCGTATAACGCGGTGATAGACTTTTCGAAGTGGTTCAGATAGGGGACATAACAGTGGTCCCAACAAGTTCAGGCATGAATATTTATATCATGGGTGGACTTGTTTTTTCGATCGGGTATGTCTGCCTCGGGATAGGGATCATGATTTGTGAGAACTTGTGGGTCAGTTTTCTGTGTTCACCAAAGCGTTGACCTTAGGTAGACACACTAAAGCTTCATTACTGCGTAAGGAAAAAATTTATTCGAGACCGATGTGCTGCCAACTGGACAATGCGTTGGGAGACGGCTAAAGCTTTGTAAAGCTTAGGAGGGAACACAGCTACCGAGGTGATGACCCACAGAGGACTCCGCCTCAGGTATGTCTAAGTTTTGTAAAGCTGAGCGAGAAGCTCATCTGCCACCGGTGCGCAGACCCACAAGGGATGACGCGTTGGGAGATGGCTAAAGCTTTATAAAGCTTAGGAGGGAACGCAGCTATCGAGGTAATGACCTACAGGGGACTTCACGTCAGGTGTGTCCAAGCTTTGTAAAGCTGAGTGAGGAGCTCATCTGTCATTGGTGCACTAACCCATAGGGGATGACGCATTGGGAGATGGCTAAAGCTTTGTAAAGTTTAGGAGGAAATGCAGCTACCGAGGCGATGACCAACTGGGAACTCCGCGTCAGGTGCGTCTAAGTTTTGTAAAGTTGAGTGAGGAGCTTATCTGCCACCGGTGCGCTGACCCACAGGGGATGACGCGTTGGGAGATGGCTAAAGCTTTGTAAAGCTTAGGAGAAAATGCAGCTATCGAGGCGATGACCCACAAGGGACTCCGCGTCAGGTGCGTCTAAACTTTGTAAAGCTGAGTGAGGAGCTCATCTGCCACCGGTGTGCTGACCCACATGGGACGACGTGTTGGGAGATGGCTAAAACTTTGTAAAGCTTAGGAGGGAACGTAGTTACCAAGGCGATGACCCACACGGGACTCCGCGTCAGGTGTGTTTAAATTTTATAAAGCTGAGTGAGGAGCTTGATCAGAGGCGGGCATTTCTGAAGTTAAATGATTTGACAACTGTTACGTATTT